CATGAGATCGTACGATTTGTCGGTTTGCTGGTCGCGAGGGCTCTGGAGCCACGGCGGGAGAGTTTGAGTCGTCACTGGATAACGCGTGCTGAAGGCGCTCTATCGCGCGGGACGTTCGGGCAGTTTATGAGTCGTGATCGGTTTCATGACATCGCTCGCTACCTTCATTTCAACGACAATGATCGTCAGCGTGACAGCGACCGGGCTTTCAAGATACGCCCCGTCATCCAAGCCTTGCAAAAGACCTTCTTTCGTGGATATCGCCTCGGTGCTCGGATCTCCTTCGACGAAGGAATGGTGCCCATGCGCCACCGTCGCAACCCGATGCGTCAGTACATGCCCGCCAAGCCCAACAAGTGGGGAACCAAGTTCTATCTGACTTGTTGCGCAGAGACGGCGTATTGCTCCAGGTACGGAATTCGATTGTTGCGGATATCCGTCGCGTATGACGGGTGTCCGTGATAATTTTGAGTGTGGAGATCCGTTATGTGTTCGGCATGAGCCGTGATACCTTCGAGACGTAATTAACCTTTACTTGATGTTCAGGTTGGAGGTATATTGTGGCAAGGCCAACAAGAACGAAGAAGCGGTAGCGCAGCAAGCGGTTGTGAAGAATATTGCCAAAGTGCTTCATGGGCAGCCGACACAGCGACTGATTTGCACGGACAATTTCTATACGTCCATCCCACTTTCGGACAAGTTGCTCAGCATGGGCCACTACCACGTGGGGACCATTCGCAAGGACCGCAAGGGGTGGTGCAAGGAGATCGAATTCAAGCAGAAAAAGCGTCCGAAATCGATGCCAAGAGGAGTCTATCGTATGGCGGTTTGGAGAAGTCGCCCCGAGTTTGTGGCTTTATCGTGGATGGATAGCAAGCCTGTCAGGTTTCTAGCAACTGGCTGCTCAACCCAGATCGCGGAAGTCTCTCGCCGCGAGCCTGGTGGTTCGATCTCCCGTGTGCCATGTCCGCAGCTTGTGCGCGACTACCATGAGGCCATGGGAGGGGTCGATGTACACGACCAACTACGCCTACAAAGATACTCCATCCAGCGAGCGATTCGAATGAGGAAATATTACAAGACAATCTTCCTCGGACTAGTCGACATCGCCATGGTGAACGCATTCATTATTCACAAGCTGGCGATGCGTAACCGCGGGAGAACCGTGCCGACGCACGCGGTGTTCATGAGGCGACTGCATATCGCGCTACTGGGTCAGACTAACGAGGACTTCGATGGGGACGACGACCTGGCCGATCTTGTCACTGAGCCGCTCCCCCGAACTGCCCACGCTCTGGAGCTGACAAACGAGAGGAATGGGGGAAAGCGGCGCCAATGGCTGTGCAAAGTGTGCTCGGCCTACGCCGGGCCGGGTGTCCGTAGCTTCGAGACCAGCTACTCCTGCCCCACGTGCACCAAGGCCAAGAAGGGGCGCGTCACCTTGTGTAACAAGGCGCGTAGGCTGCAGCACGGCAGCATCCTCACGTGCAACCAGATTTGGCACCAGAGCTGGCGCAATGGCATGGCCATCCCGCCTGAGTTGCAGCACAAGATCCGCTTCGTGGACAGACGTCGGCGCGAGGTTCTTCCCAGCGATGATGGCGAAGACGAGTAGGGAGATAATGCAGCTAATGAAGTGTCTTGAGTGTTGGTCATTGTCGAGTCGTATCTGTGCAGTGTAACGGATTTGCAGGGAGATCGCAATTGGCAGTTATTCGCACGTGTTTTGTACTGCCCATCTCTTCGCAGCAGCCAATGATATACGCTCTCCGGGCCACGTGTCACGCGAAAGGGCTTCAAACAGGGTATATAGTACTGATTTTCCGGTATATGTTAATTCATATATTAACAATTCCGGATAATCCGGAACGTCCGCCGTAGTAGAGGGGTTAAGCAAGCTAACCACATCTCGATCTCAAAGACTAGCGTGTGGAGAATTATCCACGAATTTGGCCTGACACGGAAGGACGGGCGATGCATATCA